AAAAAAATTTTTTTTTTGTAAAAATATAAAACGTTGTTTTTAATTAATTATTTATTATAATTTTAGCAAAAAAATTTTTAAACACAAGTGCCGGTAGTGGATAAAAGATTTATTGTGTTAAGGCAAGTTTCGTTATTATTATAGTTGAAAACCCATAACCTGTTTACTTTTGGAGGGTACATCTTTCCTTCTTTTTTTTGAATATTTAATTCAGCAAGTTTATTTAATTATGATTTATTTACATTAGACTGAAAGAGTGCTATCATTTCCAGTTATGAAAGAAGAAAAATGCTCAAGTACAGACAGACACACTTTATACAAACTAAGCTAACAATCTGAAGTTGGGATACTTACCATTCATAAGTTTCTAAATAGTCAGTAAAAAAAAAAAAAAGGTCTCGTTTTAACACGATCTGTAAATCCGTACATAGCAAAAAATGTTCTTCTTTACTGATGTCAATAATAAAAAAAAAAGCTAATATTTATTTATCTGTCTGTACGTCAGTAAAAATGAAATTTTAAAATTGTCAACTCTGGTATGAAGTACCTTCTTTAACAACCTTGGTGGAGAGAAACAGAAATTAAACTAGGGGTCCTAACAAGTTAAACGGTCTCACAATGAATTCATACATTTTGTAATTAGGGGTGAAATTCTGATGGTACTAGTACCGGGACTGATTTGAGCTGCTTTGTCATTTTTTTATGTTTACACGAAGATTTTTTTTTTTTTTCAAAAACAGGTCCACTTCACCGAGCTGAGTATCTCTACTTTTTTTTTGAGAATTTCACACCTATTTGTAAGTACATATAGTTAAACTGGGACATTAAGGACTAGTACTAGTAACTTTATCATGATATCAATTAATAACAAACTGTAGAAAAATCAAGTTCACCCTAATTGAAAAATAAACGTACGGATTACCAAATTACTAAAACAAATAACTTCCATATAAATGGACAGAATGTAGAAAATTAAGCCTACACAGGTGCAAATGTAAATGACCATTATTCCCGTATTGGTTAAGACATACAAAGGAGGATAAAAAAAAAACATCAACAGTAACTTAAGATACTAATATATCTTTATTGAACATACACCTTAATATATAATAGATACTACTTGAAACAAGGCACGTATATATACAGATAAGAGAGACTTGGTGTAAACAAGCTAATTCAATACCAGCAAAGTGTTTGGGAATAGACAAGATCCAAGACGTTAGAAGTGATATCAAACTCCTTCATCCCAATCTTCTTAGCGCAAGCACATTGGCTAACGACCAACCTGGAGAAGTATAAAGTTTACTTGTTTGTATCGTAAGCCATATATTTTGTAGTCAGCCATTTAAAATTGGAAAAACAAAACAAACTTTCATATTATGCAATTAAACTGTGAGGTTACTCCAACTACACAATTAAACTGTGAGGTTATTCCAACTACACAATTAAACTTTGAGGTTACTCCAACTACACAATTAAACTTTGAGGTTACTCCAACTACACAATTAAACTGTGAGGTTACTCCAACTACACAATTAAACTGTGAGGTTACTCCAACTACACAATTAAACTGTGAGGTTATTCCAACTACACAATTAAACTGTGAGGTTATTCCAACTACACAATTAAACTGTGAGGTTACTCCAAAACAACTTATTGTTAATTACAGGGAATTATCAATATTCAGTGATGAAAAAATAAAGATAAAAAAGTATATACATGCACACATATTACTAACAAACACAGAAATAGAATCTTAGTTTGAAATTATTCAACTGTAAGCAAAATATTTGGCCAGTTCAAGTACATTATAACATAGTAAGAAACGGAACTTAAAAAAATCCGATAAAAACAAAGACTCTTACTTCCGAACCACTTCTATGACAAATGTATTGAAAATAGCCACAACAAAATCCACGATGACCAGCTTATATAACTGTTGACCAATGTATGTTTCCCAGCACTGAAAAACAAAATTAAATAACATGCATTTTATGCCACAATATTAAAATGTGCATTCACTTAAGTATTAACATCAACTACACAGGATAATGGAAAAGTAATTCCAGGACCAAACTGTCACATTTTTAAGGAAATAATTTACTGATTTCAATAGAATGTCAACTCCAGCAAAATATAAATGACTAGTTTTATTATACTTGATTACAAAAAATGTACCGAAGTCCCAGTAAACTTACTTTAGAAGTATTTACAGTGAAGGTGGAATTAAATTACATGTGAAATGTCCATTTCTTTATCCTGTCAACAATTTTATGATCCACCAGATGAATCTTTATCCTGTCAACAATTTTATGATCCACCAGATGAATCTTTATCCTGTTAACAATTTTATGATCCACCAGATGAATCTTTATCCTGTCAACAATTTTATGATCCACCAGATGAATCTTTATCCTGTCAACAATTTTATGATCCACCAGATGAATCTTTATCCTGTCAACAATTTTATGATCCACCAGATGAATCTTTATCCTGTCAACAATTTTATGATCCACCAGATGAATCTTTATCCTGTTAACAATTTTATGATCCACCAGATGGATCTTTACCTTATCTTATGTTAACAATATCATTCAAACAATAGTCATGTGACATCTGTTTATCTGCAAACAAAGATACATTGTTCAAAGCCTGTTTACTGACCAGTGTTGCCAAGTCAGTGTATATCCTATTTTTTATGAGTTTCTAAAGCTCATTTTTTCCAAAATAAACACAATGGTATGACTTGTGTAGGATGTGGGAGCAATATGATAAGACTTTCAAGGACCTTCTGATAAAAACCATTAATTTTTCCAAATTTTCTAGTGCTGAAAATATTGTTTACAAGATTAGATGATTTTCCAGATTGTTTATGACTGGTGCAAACTCTATAATAAGCATTTTATCTTGAAAAATTACATAAAATGCACATACTACGCCAGTGGCGTATCTTTGGTTCTAAAAGTGGGGGTATGGAGGATAATCAACAGTTAATAATTAAAGTGAGGGGGGGCTACAAACAAATTACGCTTACGTCATAAGCTCACTTTTTCAACACAAACTTGCATGATTATTAAGCAAGTATTTTATTAAAAGTTTTTAAATTTTGAAAACCTAAAGTAAACAGATGTATTAAAAAAACATAAATGTTCCATAGCATTTAGAGGTAAAACTTGTATCAATGGTTTCTTAATGTATAACTTCTCCACAACAGTAAGAGGCAAAGTTTAAGTTCATACCAGTGGTTTCTTACAGGCCAGTTTGTTTATTCCTTGCTTGCACAAATCTACAGTAGAATCATTACAATTGATCTGGTGGTAGAAGGAATAAATCAAGCTCCCAATCGATGCCAGCCTAAGGAACACTGTTCTGTAAAAACAAAATCATGTAATTAAAGATCCCAATCGATACCAGCCTAAGGAACACTGTTCTGTAAAAACAAAATCATGTAATTAAAGATCCCAATCGATACCAGCCT